TTTGGAATTTTAGACATTTAAATATAGTTTAGTTAAATTATGGGTGTGAATGGAAAATATGAAATATGATTTTTTTTTTTTTTTTTGTAAATTTATGTAAAAAAAGTATAATGAATTTGGGCTTTTTTGGGGCCTTTTGATCAGTTTTGATAAAAAATTATAATTTTTTTTAGACTCAATGGTATTTTTGTGAATCTATTTAAAATAATTTTGGACCCTTTTTTGGGGCTTTTTTTTTTTGGGGGGCCCTAGGCAGGTGACTTACGTGCCTACCCCTTGGGCTGGCCCTGGTTATGTGAAATCCCAAATACAAATGGGTAGACATGACCATTGATGAGCAGCGAAACCCATCTATAATATGCAGCAAAGATTGAGAAATAATTTTTTTTTTTTTTTTTTTTGGGAGTACGGTTAAATCCAAAGCTTATTATTAATAGCGGTTTGACAGGTAATTTCATTCATCTCCTTCATTGTCATCAGGTAAAACAGGTTAGTCAAATTCAACATCCATAATCAACCCAACCATCATATGTACAACAATCTTTCAAAAGCTTTCTATGAAGGAACAAAGATAGTGAAGACATGATCTTCGGCCAACATTCAATTAGAATTCCACATCCACTACTGAGTAATACTATGCTTACAATTGAGTTGTACAACTAAATCATATAAACAAACAAAAAATAAAGGAGAGAATAGTCATTTTACATAAATTTTGTATAATTTCGGTTTGTTTGTATAATTCAATTTTAAGCAAAACATTATTGATCCACTAATTATGGGATTAATTTACGGTTTATTAACCCAGACTCTCTTCCTTTATAAGTGGGTTTTAAGGGTGAATTCTATCCAATGGTAAATAATGGAGTAAGGTTGACCTAATTGGGATGTCAGAATCCAAATTCACTAATGTGGGATAGTAAAAACTTACAATTAACCTTTTGAAACAAACAACGTCAAATTACAATGGTTTATAAAATTACCTTGGAAGAGATTTTGAATATCTTTTAAAATGGAGTACTAAAAACTTACAATTAACCTTTTGAAACAGACAACATCAAATTACAATGGTTTATAAAATTACTTTAAGGGGGCGTTTTGATCATATAATGTTTTATTATAAAGGGATGTTATATTAACAGAATAAAAGATCACCTTGAAGATTACTAAGAATGTTTAGAAAATGTGTTTGGTTAGAAGGATAAATGGGTGGATATGTTATATAGATTACTAAATTTTCCTCATTTTTAGATATTAATTAACAATATTTTTTTTTGAATAATTTTTAACCCCCAACTTTTCAGATTTAGCAAAAACACCCTCGCAATCAAAAATGATTTAAACTTAACAAAAACACGCCTACTCGCCCCAAGCCACTGCCGACAGCCAGCCACCACCATTGGCGGCCGCTGGCAGTGCCACAGATTTGGCCGTGACGTCTGCAGTGCCATAGATCTGGCCGTTTCACGGCTAGATCTATGGTCATTTCACTACCAGATCTCTGGCCGTGAAATGGCCAAGTCTTTGGTTTTGAAACGTTGGCTGTTTCACTGCCAGATCAGTCGCCATTTCACGACCATAGATCTGGTCGTGAAACAACCAAATCTGGCCTTTTCTGACCATGTGATGCATGGTCGAAACAAGCCTCACCGGCACACAACCGACCATATATGACTAATCGTATGCAATTATGGTGACTTTTGGCAACCTCCGGCAACGGTTGACGATGGCTGGCGGTGGTGGCTAGTTTTAGGTATAATGGCATTTTTGCAAATAATGATAATAACAAGGGCAATGTCATCCGAAAAACGTAAAAAGCGAGGACGAAAGTGTCCGCATGAGTGAATTTGGTGTTTTGTAAATATTAACAAATATAAGGTTAATTTGGACCAAATACTCAACTGTTTAGGGGCAACATAAGAAACAAAATTGCATTACCAGGGTAAGTTTTAATACCAGCCCCCCCAAGGTATTAAGATTCCCGACAATTAATCCCCCAGATGCTACTGTTTGTCATAAAATATTCCAAAAATAACTTCTTACAAACCAACCAAACATTGTCATTTGCCCAATTTAAAAAATATTATCCCAGTTATCTAATATTAACCTGATCCAAACGGCCCCTAAAAGAGATTTTGGATTTCTTTAAAAATAGAGTAAAGGCTGACCTAATTGGATATCAAAGTCTAAATTCACCAACATGGAATGGTAAAAACTTACAATTAACCTTTTAAAACAAACAACGTCAAATTATAGTGGTTTATAAAATTACCTTAAAAGAGAATTTGGATATCTTTTAAAATTGTTTTTGGGGTTGAAAAAATGAGAAATTGAAAACTTTAACCACAGGACAGTTCTTATTAATTTCTTTTGTCTTTTTGTTTTTGTTTTTTTTGTTTTCGTGTCCTTAGTTTTATATCTTGTAAAAGGGTTACGGATTACATTGTTTAAATAGAAAGTGATCATACGACCAAAAAAAAAAAAAAAAAAAGAAAACACCTAAAACTTGAATCAAACAAATTGTTTATGTTAGTTTTTGGAGTGTTTCAGAGTTGACAACCTTACAGAGACATAGGATACTGAAAAATTCCAGATCTTAAGCAAAATAATGAACTTCTATATAAACCCTTTCTAAAATTTTTGAATATGCATAGAAAATCATTGTTAATAATTTTGTTTGAATATTATTATACCCCTATTTAAGATAGAAGACGAGGGATAAAGATAAAAATGATGGGTGCTAAAAATTACTTCCCCAAATTTAAATAACCACTTAAAATAAAGATAGTCTGACAAACACTTCTCGTAAATACTTTCTCACAAACGCGACGTGGCAGTTCGCAATTGGTTTGATCAGGCGGGATTTATTGTTGGATAGACATGATTCATACGAGTTAATCAATTGCGAACTGACACGTTGCATTTGTGTGAAAAAATTAATGAGAAGTGCTTGTCCGTGTAATATTACTCAACCACTTATCTCACTTTTTCTCATTAACCATTCAATTAGTTTTAGGATTAACCATTTCTTCGATTCCTCAACTCTCTTCAATTACAACTCACAAAAGCCAATAAACCAGCAGCTCACCAAAATTGAAAAGTCTTGGGAAGTGAATCAGAGCCATGGATCATCCTGAAATCAAATTCGAACACACGAGTAAAATTAAGTTTAATGATAATTATTCCTTCATCTATGGTTAACTTCATCAATTATTGTAGAAAACTTGAGTTTTTTTTTTCTTGTTTAATGCAAATGTGTTGGAATTTGTGCCATTTGTTCAAATATTTAACCAAATTGATGTGCAGTTCAAAGAGTGATCTTAAAGATTTAAGAAAATAAAATATAACCAGGCAACCAGCCCATGGCCATAAAATCCAAGGGTTTGAGATTTTCCAAGTACTGAAGAAAACATTAAACATGAGGTAGCAAGAAAAGTTCAATAAACATTCACCGTTTAAAAAAAAAAAAAAACGGGTTTTTCCCAACTGTTTAAAACGAGTAGTTAAAAAGAATTAGTTGCTCAGCGGGTGGGCTTACATGGGTCAAGGTCCACTGGCTGTCTGGTTCGATGCTGACTCATGTCATGTGTCATCAACGCCCATACAAAAATGCGAAAATTACTGTGCCACTGTATCGGTAACATTAAACGAAAGAAAGGGAAGTTAATTTTGGGATTAAATCTTCTAAATTGTAAATCGGGTGTATATTATACAAAACAATAAATATATACGATCTTGATATAATTAAATCAAAACTGTACTAATACTTTGGATCCACTCATTAAATTGAAATGATGTTATATATATATATAATCACGACCATCTCGTGACTAATCGCCCCATGACAATTATAATTATGTCAACAGATGCATAGTAATAATATTGTCACATAAAATTTCATGGATCCTATTGTTTTTTTTTTTTTTTTTAAATTATTTTGGTGTTTAACTATCATTATTTTTTTAATCTTTTCAGAGTTATAAATATTTTTAAAATTATTAAAAATTTGTCAAACACTACAAACTTCCCAAATGATACTTCTGAAGTTACCAAATTTTAAGTCTAACGCTAACTAATTGTTTCTTGAGGTTGTTTTAGTGTGTTTAATTTGACTTTAAAGAAAATATCCCCACCCACATATAATCATAAAGAATTATAAGAACTCAATATCAACATTAAGGGCCGTTTGATATAGAATTAAATACATTTTTTGTTTTGTTTTTAAAAATAATACAAATAAATCTTATGAAAATGAGTTTATTAAAATGATTTGAAATGTTTTCGAAATAGTTTTTCGGATACAATCCTAAAAGCTATTGTAAAATCATAAAACGATACAAACCATTTTCACAATTTTTTATGCTTTTTAATCTAAAACATTTTTCATTTTTTTTTATATAATAAATTTAAATTATATTCTAGTTTTTTTTTTTTTTAATTTTAAATCAACTTGTTGTTAACGTTAATTTAAAAGTGCCTTTACTTGGTGATTTAACCTTCCTTTTATGTATAGAATGTTTCAATTAAAAATTAAACAAAACTCTTTAGATCCAGAAACTAGGCGTCCATACCAAATGTTTAAATTAAAGTCAAGGAACTATAAATTGTCAATAATCAAATTCGTACAATTATTGTAATTAATAAACACGAAATGTAAGCCCAATGGACCCAGTTCAAGGATTGATTAATCATAATTATTACTTCTATCCTATTTAAAAAAAAAAAAAATCTAAAATAAACCATGTGACCTTAGCCTCACCAAATTAAACCGACATTGAAAATAGTTTAATCTCCCCAAAATTAGAAAATTAATTAGACTATTGTGATGACTAGGGGTAATTTCAGTCTCCGATTTTCTCTTAAAACGGTGAAAAGTCTTTTAAGTTGTTACGCCTAATTAAAGATGTTATTTCGCCATAGACTGACCTCCAAAAAATGGTATAATGCATCTGAACTCAATCTTTACTGACCAAAACAATAAAAATTGAGACCACAGAACTATGAAAATATTAAAATTCAGTTCCGTGGCCTCAATTCTTCTTCTTTTACTCAATCTTTCCCGTTCATGGGGGGCTCCGGATCCTGTGTATGAAACATTTCTCCAATGCTTCACAAAGCGAACAAATTCCACGGATGATAAGCTCTCCAGCATCGTCTACAACCAACAAAGCAGATCATTTTCATCGGTTTTACGCGCCTATATCAGAAATGCCCGCTTCAATTCTTCCTCAACGCCGAAACCAACCGTCATCATAACCCCATTGGAAGAATCCCACGTTCAAGCCGCTGTGATTTGCGCCAAACAAGTTAATTTTCAGCTTAAAATCCGTAGCGGGGGCCATGACTATGAGGGTTTATCGTATAAGTCAGAGAATCCTTTCTTCATTCTCGACATGTTTAATATTCGGAATGTTGATATTGACATGAAGGAAGAGACCGCATGGGTTGGAGCCGGTGCCACTCTGGGTGAAGTTTATTACAAAATTTCGGAGAAAAGCAGTGTTCATGGCTTTCCTGCCGGCGTTTGCCCGACTGTTGGGGTTGGTGGGCACTTTAGCGGCGCTGGTTATGGCACCATGTTGCGGAAATTCGGTTTGTCAACTGATAATGTGGTTGATGCTAAGATTGTTGATGTTCAGGGAAGAATTCTTGATAGAAAAGGAATGGGAGAGGATCTTTTTTGGGCCATTAGAGGCGGCGGTGGCGCGAGTTTTGGCGTTGTGTTATCGTATAAACTGAAGTTGGTTTCTGTTCCGCAGAAGGTTACTGTGTTCAAAGTTGAACGACTTGTGGAAGAGAACGCAACGGAGATCGCCTACAAATGGCAGTTTGTGGCGCCGGCGACGGATAATAACTTGTTCATGAGAATGCTTTTACAGCCGACGACGAAGAACAAGAAGACGACTGCGAAAATAACTGTGATCGCATTGTATTTAGGATTGAAAGATAATCTTATGTCTCTTTTGGATAAGGAATTTCCTGAATTGGGATTAAAGAAAGAAGTTTGTATGGAAATGAGATGGGTTGATTCAGTTCTTTGGTGGTCTAATTTTGATCTCAATACTACAAAACCTGATGCTCTTCTCGATAGAAAAGTTGACTGGGCCGATTTCGTGAAGAGGAAATCCGATTACGTGCAGCAACCAATTCCGAAATTTTCCTTCAATTTGATATGGAAAACTATGACGGAATTGGGGGAAGTTGGGTTGGTTTTCAATCCTTATGGAGGGAGAATGAGCGAAATTCCTGCAACGGAGACTCCATTTCCGCACAGAGATGGGAATTTGTTCAAGGTTCAGTACTCCATTACTTGGGAAAAGCCTGATCCTGAGCTTGAAAAGAACTACACTTCTCAGGTTTCAGACCTCTACATTTTCATGACTCCATTTGTGTCAAAGAATCCAAGAGGTGCTTACTTGAACTACAGAGATCTTGATATCGGTATGAACCATAATGGTAAAGATAGTTATGAGGAAGGTAAAGTTTATGGGGCCAAGTACTTTAATGGCAATTTTGACAGATTGGTGAAGGTGAAGACAATGGTTGATCCTGAAAATTTCTTCAGAACTGAGCAGAGTATTCCTGTTCTACCAAAGTAAGAAAATTTCAGAAAATTTATTTTAATTATTAAATATTGAATGTAAAATACAATACAAGTATATCGTCAATTTTTCTTAGACCATTATATTAATGATATTTTATGTTTATTAAATCTAAGATTCTTTAACTTTATAAAAATGTTTTACTTGATAAGATTATTGTGACAAATACAATTAAAATTGTGATCTCATCAAAATATTTCTTTCAATAGTATCTCTCTTGTGCATTTTTTTTTCTTAAAATTCAGTAACAATATCATTTAACTTGAGCCTGTTGAAAGTATAAGGATTGTGGGGTAGATGGAGTTATTACGGTTGGTAGTTTTACTTGACGAGTTGGGCACCCAAACAAAGCTGGTTCATTAATTATTAATATATATTTATTTGATCATTTTTATACAGATGAATTAAATAAAATTAGATAAAAATGATTATTAACATATTGTAGGTTGTCATTGATATTTGATAATATGTTGATTACTTGTTAATATATCCTTTTACCATATAATGTTGTGACCCCTGTGGGTTAATATCGAGTATTAAAAATATATTTGTAATTAGTATGATAATTGTTATTTATTTAGGAAAGAAAATTAAAATAACGCGGTTAATGACTTCAATAGATTCTTCTATTTGCTATTGTTGGTTATGTGCCTATGAGTACATGTGGTGCCGTCATGTGGAAAAGTTCAAATGGGTGGTTGAATTGGCTTTTTCAGTCACAAAAAGCACTTAAACATAGCGTTTTTTGTCCTCGTAAAAGCACTTTATGTGAAAGTGAGATTCAATTCATCTTTAACACGCCTAAATGTCTTGTATTTCATCTTATAGATACTAAAAGTATTCATTAATGAAACATTACTAAGAACAACATTAACATAGTTTTGATAAAATTAACATGCAGGAGTATAATATGAAAAATGTTCTCATATGCTTACAAAATGCCTTGTGAAAAAGGATGACCAATAGGATGATTGTTAGGTAGACCGAATGTACCATTAGGTTGAGCTAATGTCAATTGGGAGTTATAACAACTAGTGACACATCAACAATAGATCGACCAAATAGACCATTAGGTTGATCACGAACTGGAAAATTCATTTTTGCGCATAACGACTATTTTTTTTTTTTTTTGAATTTTTCTATATAAACCCAACCGAATCATATTGAATCAATTTTTGACACTCTGAAATTGCAAAAACATCAAAGCATAAACATTCAATCATTCAAAGAGCTTTTACTTGCAAAATTCTCATCCTAAACTTAAAACTTTTCTACACAGTCATTTGATTTCTTGTTGATTGGGTTGTATTGAGTGAAAAGACTTGTGATTCTATTATGCGAGAGAGTTATTGCACTGTTTTATTAATCTATTTTTGGGTTGTAAAAGAGTCAGGTTCAATCTTGAGTTCCTAGACATTTCTAGTGAGAGAAAGTGAGTCCAAGAGAGTTTAAAGGTTAAATAGCACCTTGGAAGCTATTTGTAAATTGAGAAAGAAAGCTTGGTTGGGGGTTTGATAACCAAGGGTTAGTGGAATACTACAAGAGAAAGAACTTGGAGGAGTGGATGTAGGTTGGTTTGGGCGGAACCACTACACATTGTGTAGAAATCATGTCATGGCAAGCGCGGAATAACAAATTTTTTTTTCTTGCCATAGCATGATCTCCTTACCTAAGATCATAACTCGATAAATTAATTTACAGTATATTTAGATTAGACCATATAAGGATAGTACTTTTACCTCTTGTTGGCTGCTCCTTCTCTAGATTAGAATTTTCAGTACTGTTCACTAGCATTGTTCATGAGGTTCGGGATCACCCTAGGATTGATTGTTAGACCAATAAAAGGGTTTAAGGGAGTTGGTGGAAATTAGAGAGAGAATATTGTTAGTGTATGCCCTAGGAACCAATCGTGTTGTCAGTTTTAGGACATTATATCTTGTAAATGTATTATGAATAAAAGAAACTGTTCTTATTTCACATGTTGATTTTCTGCTTCATTTGTATTATATTATAGTTAATATTGCATGTAAAATGTCCGGATGACACGGATCTTCAGAAGATCAAATCATTAAAGAATTCTCTACGCAAGTAATGTTAATTGGGCAATAACATTGCATAGTAGGCATGTTGAATGTCTCCACTGAATATCATGTGATGGTATTAGTGTGGGTGATTATAAGAGGTATGCCACTAAGGCATTAGCATGGATAAACGGTTAGTGAACTGTTTATTAAATACGTAGATTACGATGAATCACATGGATGTGGTCAATGATGCATTGTAGGATCGTGCTAGTGTACCACTGATCCTTAGACCTGAGACATCACGGTTGGATTCAACATAGGATGTATATGGTTCATATGGTGTATAAGCATGAGACTAGTCATGTCTTGTGTAATAAGCCGGTTTGGTTATATGTTATTCATGTGCAAGGACAAGTGATGGTAAAGATATGGGATCCGTTAACTCAAAATAGTCAAATCTCAAGTTCCCAGATGAATGTCAATAAACATTGGAAAAGGGAAATCTCTGGCCAGAGTATAATGAATGTCAGATGAAAAGTAGTTTCATGTTGACGAGTTCCATTGTATCGATTGACAATTTGATTAAAGATTAAGTTAAAGGTTTTGACATACCATGAACCATTCTTAATCCAGATTAGATAACGGAGGGATTTGACTATATGATACGTACGATCATAATAGGTTCATTGGAGTTTACACTTCATTGTGGTTTAGGTGTTATGAAACATTGCTAGACGTTTACCATAATCGGTGGGAGTTTCGATTATAAAGAGTTATAATAAAACATATCAAAATCCGATATTGGGCCCACAGCTAGATCATGGTGAACCAAAATGGTCACACATAAAACCAAGCTCAAGGAGAGAGAGTAATACACATCATTAATTAGATTAATGATGTTCGGATGTAAACAGTTGCATCCGAATTAATGTATTGGTGAGAAATGATTATCCATGGATAGCTAGCACTAACTAAGGGTAATCAGGATTTATTAAATATTATTATTGAATCGGATTCAATAATGGGGACAAAAGTGCATTGGTTTTATTCTTAAGAGTTAGAATATTTAATGGGATCAAAATTTGGGCTAATTATGAATTAACCATAAAACCAAGGACTTGACATAAATGCTATTTTCCAAGATTAATTTTAAATTGTTTGAGGACTTCATAAGACAATTTAAAATTACACTTTGTGCCCATGGTATATAAACCAAGTGTTATACCAATTTCATAGAATTGAAACAAAAATCACTCTCCCATTTTCTCTCTCACTCTCTCGGCTCTCTTTTCCTTGACTTGTGTGGATCATATTTTGAGGTTATTCAAGTCCACTTGAAGACCTAAGACTCCAAGAAAGAAGATTCAAGTATTGAATAGCAAAGGAGTTGGTAATTTTCTATCATTTTCTTACATTAATATGTTAATGTTTTAATGGTTTGTTTTATACCTTATATTCATCATCTCGATCATCATTTTCTCTCAATTTCCATGTCCAAAATGCATGAAACACAACAAATATCTCTCTAGGGTTGGCAGCGGCTAGGATTTTTGGGAGAGTTAATTTTGCTATTAAATTTGCAAAATTAACTTCATGAGAATTGCTCTTTACAAATAAAAAAAAAAAAAAACTCTCCTCATTTTATAGTGCTATTCCAAGTAGGAATTCAACTAGGATTGCAATCCTTGAATTCCTATCATGGAAGGATTCCACTAATCCTAAAAGGAAATGATAATATCTCTATCCTATTTAAATATTAAATACTAAATTAAATAAATAATACTATTTATTTAATTCCATAAATATATATAAACTAATTAAATAAATACATTTATTTAATCCATATATATAAAATATTTGGGTTTTTAATATATATATATTAAATTAAATATATTTCCATATTAATTAAAATTAACATGATTCCAATTTTGCTAAATTCTCTTCCAATAAATTGGATAATGGCATCAACCCCTTAGCAAAATTACCAAAGTGTCCTTTTTGCCCATAATAAAGAAAATGCCCCTGGACTCCCAAATTACCAAAATACCCTTTTTGGCCCAAGGACAAGATTGTCCTTTTATTTTCGTTTCTCACTTAACTATCTTCTATGTGTGTGACCCGAAGGCTTTTTATTTTGTCAGTAGTGTCCTAATAACTAATTAAGCATCAAGCAATTAGTTTTTTCGTACACCAATCAAGATTGGCCTCTAGCAAGATATCATAATTCCTCGGTAATTAAAGAATCAGCAATTTAAGCTTACCTTTTCTACGGTATGATTACTGTGCAATTCGATCCATTTCATCATCTTATATCTCATCAAGGTTTGAGGTATAGAAATAGTGATTACCTCAAAATGCTACCTTGACATATTCTATATTTGGTTCTCGAATCTAACGACTATATAAAATTGGATTTGAGCACCAACTCGATTTTACCGTGGCCACAGATTTGAGGTCGTAGTTCTAAGCTAAATATCTCGCGAAGATAGAATCTCCTATAACCAGAGTGATAAATCTTTTGTTGATCCACCATAGCCATAAATTCTCTTTTATCACCTTCTCACTATATGAAAAGATAAAGAAAACAATATCATACATAGCACCATCTCAAGAAAATTTGTGACTCTAGACAAGAGTTACTTTAGGGCCTTCTAATAATATAAGCATGTATTAAAAAAAAATATTTCAAATTTACTTTTCTTGCCTTTTGAGATGCAAAATCACTAATTAAATTTTTGTATTCAAATTTGGAAACCAAATCTTTTTCAATTGATAATATAGCTAAATTACCTAATCTTTCTTGTGACATTATTGAAAGTAAATAAGATTTTATTAACCTTAATTTGAAAAACTTCTTTCTGCTAAAGTTATAATAACAGGAATAGTTAATAATATTCTATAAGCTATCCATGCATTTGGAAAAGAATTCACATTTTTTACAAAATCTAATATCTCAAGTGATGTTTTAATTTC